TTGATTTTGCTCTTTTCTTCCCAGATTTGTCCATGGGTCCCGGCCAGAAGGTGCTTTAGTCTCATGGCAGGCTTTCAGGCCGTGACTTTTGCCTGCGAGGGGATGGGTAACTTCAGGTGTTTGATTTAGAAATTATATTCTTTGTGTTCCGTATTGTATATTTACTGTATTTAAGTCCCTTTTCATTAAAATTTTATATGTTTTGTCTTGTTGCGGCGGATGGCAGAACCCACAGACAGGCAACCCAATTCACATTGGGGAGCCCTATAACAGATTTGGGGAGCCCTGTAACAGATTTGGTGTCCTATAACATGTCCACAGTACGATTAAATCTAAGCGCGGGTGAGGACCCACAGACAGGCAGCCCATTTCACACTGGGGTGCCCTGTAACAGAATCGCCAGCTGGCTCATGGAAGCTCGCTCTTCCCTGCTGTCTGAGGGGTTATAATCAGAGTACTTAGGAAAACGACCTGTGAAAGCGACTCTCGACTCTCTGTGGGCTTGTCAGTAGGGGAGACACATTCATTCGCTGACAGTTCACCCCAGCTGGTACCTGTTCAAGCCTCTGGCTGCCCCCAGGGCCATGAAGAAGCGCTTACTGAAGGGGAGGTGCTTTTCCTTATCCAGCAGTTCCCTGAGGGTCCCAAGCTCACAGTACTCCATGACAATGGAGAATTGCGGTGGAGTCACTGGTGGAAGGAGTCAGACACCGTCAGAGTCAGGAGCCAGCCCCTCTAGGGTCTCCTCCCTGCAGCCACCTTCCAGCCCTCTACAGAGACAGATCAGTTCGGCAGTATTCTCCCTCTCCCTCCCAGCTTCCATCCTCCCCTCCCAGCTCAGACACAGGCAGAGTTCCCAAACCTCTCCTTTGTGGTATTTGCCACATTTAAATATATATATATATATATATATATATATATATATATATTTATTATTTATGCATATAGAACTGGGGTACAGGCCAGATGTGCAGGGGAGGTGAGAGGATTCACCAGACACTGAGTGGGGAGCAGAACAGGCAGATCTACGAAGTACACTGCTGAGGGGAGCAGTGGGCGGGTCAGGAGAGGTCTGCCGTGCCATGTGGGTCACTAATGGGGCAGGGATGGAACTCGCACTGAAGTGGCTGCAGCTAGCTTGCAGTGCTGTGTCCTAACCTGTTGCCTCACCAGGGAGGGCCATGGTATTTGCCACATCTTAAATCTACATTTGTTTGAGTTATCTGATTAGTGTCAACTCTAAGTCCCAGGTTGGTGGAGAGTGTGTCTGTCTTGGTCCTCCAGGGCTCCAAGGGACCTAGTCAACAGGTGTGAAAGGAATGAGGACACAAGACTGCCTCAGGTGAGAGCACCTGGACAGAGGTGAGGTCTCAGGGCTGAGGCCAGAACCCACACACGGAGTGAGTCAGCTGCTTCAGCATATGTAGGGGAATAAACATCACAGTAAGTTTTCCTTTAAGCTGGGATTCTATACTCTGGAACTGGGTGGCCTGAGACTGTGGAGAAATTTCCAGAGGGGATATGTCAGGAGTTTCTCTGTCCTTTCTACTGGAAAGAACAGGAGAGGCCAGACTACAAGAGGGAAAAAAATGCAGCCACATTACAGTAACAAAAGCTAAAGAGAACCTGACACATGGGTTCCTGGTAAAGGAGCAGGTTTAGTTGAGGGTTTGATTTACACTAATGAGGACCAAGGTCAATGCCTTGTTGGGGCCAGTCAGCTTTGTAACATTTTGTGGCAATGAAATGCAGCCATCACTCAGGCCAGCACCCCCTGACTTCTCAGTGGACTGGCAGGAGGTGATGTGACCACCTTGGGTGGTCCAACTCACCCTTGGGCTGAGGCCAATTTCAAGGCCTCCTCTCCTAAAAAAAATGGGACCCTGCCTCTCAGCATGTGAAAAGTGAAGGTTGACAATCACCATACCATGCAGCTGTTCTTTAAAAATGTCATACGTGAGCCTTCTTTGGTGGCACAATGGGTTAAAGCACCGCACTATGAAGCTCTCAGAAGCCACTGCAGCACGAGTTCAATCCACAGCCAGGGAGCTGGGCCACATGGCTGGCAGACCTCTCCTGTCTGGCCTGCTGCTCCCCTCAGCAATGTACTTCATCAGTCTCTGCCTGTTCTGCTCCCATTCTGTCTCTGGTGAAACCTCTCACTGCCCCTTCTCTCTGCCCTATTCTGTATTCATAAATGAATAAGTCTTAAAAAAAATAAAAAGGTCATATGTTAGGGGCCTCTCTGGTAGTGCAGGGGTTAAAGACATATCAAGCTATCAGCAGCTACTATAGCATAAGCTTGATCCCAATCCCTGGACAGCCAAGGGGGGTGACCCACACAGCACAACAGACCTATCCTCTCTCACCTGCTGCTCCCCTCAGCAGTGTATTTTAGTTGATTAGCCTGTTCTGCTCCCCACTCTGTCTCTGGTGAATCCTCTCACTTCCCCCCACCTTTGGCTTACACCCCAGCTCTTCTACACATAAATAAACCTTAAAAAAGAGCCATACATTACAACAAAGAAGATCTGTGACTAGCCACCAAAAGCAAGACCACCCCCAGAGGCAGCTCCTCTTACCTGTTTCATCAATGCAAATCCCAAATATACGCAGGATGTTGGGAGAATCGAATTTCTTCATGGTTCTGATCTCGTTGTTGAAAGTCTCTCTCACCACTCTAAGGGCCCCAAAAGGGAAATTAGGGTTCTGATACTGCAGGTCCCTCAGAGAACATTTGGTGGAGTGCCCATCCTCTGGGTATGGGGGGGTGTGAGAGACTGCCAGCGTCTTGGACAGGTGAGACAGGTGTGATGAACCTGGCTGTGTGTGGGCCCCATCTGGCAGCAGAATGAGCGTGCGCTTGATACACGCAACAACACAGATAGGCCTTGACAACATCACACTACGTGGAAGAAGTCTGACACGAAAAATCACATAATGGCCTAGTCATTTATAGTAAAAGCCCAGAGCAGGAAATCTATAAGGACAGTAAGTGACTAGTGGTTGCCTCAGATTAGAGACGGTGGGGATGGGAGTGACTGGTAAGTGGTATATGGGTCTTTTTTGGGGTGAGGAAAATATTCTAAAAGTATATTAATGGCAAAGTTTGTAAAACTCTGTAAATATAAACGCCTTAAAGGTTATAATCAGGTAAATCTTGTGGTATGTAGTGCAATAAAATTGTTAAAATCGGGCTCTCCCTGGTGGCACAACGGGTTAAAGCACCACATCATGAAGCTCTCTGAAGCCACTGCTGTGCGAGTTTGATCCCTGGCCAGGGAGCTGACCCACATGGCGCAGCAGACTTTTTCTGGCCCGCCCGCTGCTCCCCTCAGCAGTGTACTTTGTCAGTCTGTCTGATCTGCTTCCCACTCTGTCTCTGGTGAATCCTCTCACCCACCACACCTCTGGCCTGTACCCCAGTTCTGTATACATAAATAAATAAAGAAATCTTAAAAAGAAACTGCTAAAATCAACAATTGCAATAAAAATCTTAATGTGTATATTGAGAAACATAATAAAACTTTCTCTGATATTTATTTAGCGTCAAGAGGAGGGGAGATGCCTTCCTAGATACAGAGGATTACTGCAAAGTCATACTAAAAAACAAGCTAAAACAAAACACCGTGTGATTTAGGGGTAAAGATGGGCACACTGATCTATGGAACAGACAGAGCCATCGACCCAGGCCATGTCTAAGCAGAAACCTCATACGAGACAGGTGGCACCGCAAAGCTATGGTGTGAGGATGGGAACAGATGGTGTCGAGAAAACAGATTCATTGTGTGATAACAGTAAAACTGGCCTATTGTTACACATCACATACTACCCAGAAGGACTAAGGCCTAAATGTGAAAAATAAAAAATGTACAGTTAATAGAAGAGAGCCCAACGCACCTCACCTCTCGTGGCGAGACAAGGCACCTCCAGAGTACAAGTAACAAGTCTGACAATGGACACCTCACCCAAAGGTAAGATACAGGTAATGTGAAACGATAGCTGAAGCTCACGAGTGGTGACCTTCCCCACTCTACAAGCATCGATTAAAAGGGTGATAAGAAAAACCCCCAAAACTGGGACAGGAAAAGGGTGGAGGATATAAACAGGCAATAGATATATAGTGGAGACCCAAAGAGCTAAAATAACTACGACAGGCTGGAATTCATTGGTCGACAGGGAAATGCAAGTTAAAATAAGATATCACTTTATAACCAGAAGAAAGAAACTGATTAGAAAGTTAGATAACACCAAGAGTTGGTGGAGATGTGTAATGACGGAGTTCTCATGTGCTGCTGGTGAGAACGTTCACACGGACAACCCATTCTGAAGCGATATCTGGTAGTCAGTTTTTACTATTTGCATACCCTAGGATCCATCAATTCCTCTTCTGTGAATCCAGCCCAAAAAACTACTTCTATAGGTCTGTGAGGATACTATGGCTGTATGAGGTCTGGTAGCTCAAAGCTGGAAGTGACTGGGTTACACCCCGGGAAAATTAAAATGGGTAATCTGGGATCTGTACCAGAGACAGTACCGAAGTGCAGTAGGTGCTCCATGCTGCTGAAAAGGTTAAAAAAAGGAGGTAGTATGATATCCACATATCACACTACCATTTGTGACAATTAAAAACACACATAACAGGCCCTCCCTGGTGGCGCAGCGGGTTAAAGCCCAGCACTGAGAATCTAAAGCCGCTTCCGCATGAGTTCGATTCCCGCCTGCCCCGGAGGTGACCACATGGCGTGGCAGACCTCTCCTGACCCGCCCGCTGCTCCCCTCAGCAGTGTACTTCGTCGATCTGCCTGTTCTGCTCCCCACTCTGTCTCTGGTGAAGCTTGTCGCCGCCCCTGAGCCTCTGGCCTGTACCCCAGTTCTGTATGCACAAATAAATAAATCTTTAAAAAAAAACAACACACATAACAACAACAAATGTTGCCAGAACACACACAACACCTACAAACAAACACACTTTCTTGTCCATGTAAGGAATGGGGAACTGAGAAACGAATGAAAGGAAATTGGGTTTAAAGATATTTAGATCTATAAGTAAAAGAAGTTTCTAGAATTGAGATAGGAAGACACATTTTTCTACCTGGACTCTGCTCCTTAATATAAAGGGCAAGTCAGTTAACCCTGCGGCCTGAGTTCTCCCATCTAAAAATGGACACAACGTGCGTCTGCTCATAGGAGTTATACAGAACTGAAATAATTCATGAGAAGTCTATACAAAAATCACTTACCCAATGTTTGTGTCTTTGGGTTTGTGGAATACTTTTATGGCCACTGGAGATTCATAGTATTTTCCTTGATAAAGTGTGCTGAATTCGTTTTCCCTTATTGAGATCCATTTGTGTCCTGTAATCTCCTCTTTCTTAATCTCCTTGATTTGATGTTGCGGGGTCTCCCTCGTGGTTTTCTTTAAGCCTGACCTCAGCAAAAGGAAAGTCAATGAGCCCGGGGAGGTGTCCTGTGGGAAGAGGCCTCTTAGTGACACCTTAAACCAGAGCTGAGCCTGGGTAGACCTACTGATGGCCTCCCTCCAGGGGACTGAGCCATGGGGTAGACATAGCTGCGTGGTTACTCGCATGCATTGTCAAAGGTGCTGCCTTTCTCGCCTCCTCAACTTCTGATTCTCTCCAGCCTCACACCCGTCTCTACCTGTCTTCATTCCCCTAATGTGATTGGGGATGGACCACCTTCACCTTCCACATCAAGGTGGCAGAACAGCTCCCATGCCCAGAAGGCTCAGTCACATGTCCTTTGCCACTTCCCCCCTTCTTTGCCCCCCCCCACAATCCTTACAAGAGGGAAGAGCTGGGAATTCACATCACCAGGATCTGCAAAAGGATAAAGAGGCCACATCTCCTTCCCTTTGTTTTCATGTGATTTGCTCCTACTCACTATCCAACGTGTCCAAGCAAATGAAACCCAGCCATCACTTCCTGATGATACCCTGTGGTCCATCGACAGGGTCCATCAACGAACCCTAGGGCTAACCCAAAAATGGCTCATTGGAAACCCCTCTCCTGACCCACCTGCTGCTCCCCTCAGCAGTGTATTTCAGTGGATCTGCCTGTTCTGCTCCCCACTCTGTCTCTGGTGAATCCTCTCACCACCCCCCGCCACCTCACACCTCTGGCCTGCACCTCAGATGTTCTATGCAATAAATAAATAATAATAAAAAAGAAAGGAAGACACTTCTGGATATCTGACTTCTTGCTGACCCTTTCGATCTGCACCGTAGCTTCCTAGAGGGCAGTGGGAAAGATGGAGGCAGAGGCTTCCTCTGGCACTGTAGTCACCCATGTCACTTTCTACCTCATTATCCTCCTTATGATTTCCATTGCTTTTAGATAAAAAGATCATGTTTACTTAATTCATTCTCTGCCTAGCTAAGTCGCATCTTAACTGAGTGTCCTGGAAAAACTAAGACTTGAGAGGATAGGCTCCTAGAACTTCAGGTAGCATATAACAGAGCAGATAATGGCGCTGCAAAGAAAACTCACCATCAAACTCCCCTCTACACTCACACACTGGTTTGCACAAATTTCACCACCTCCCATCTCTGAGACTAGGAATGCTCAAAGTTCAAAGTCACACAAACAGACAGCTGCTCAATGCTCTTTCTCCTTTCTATGCCTTTGGGGCATCAAAGTGAGACTAAAATATCCCTGCTTGCACTCCCTCCAAAGAAACCCCTTACCACTTCTGCTGTCCTCTGCATCCTGCTGATCAACCTGCTGCGAGGATATTCCTTGGCTGATGCTTGAAATACGCTTCAGTTGCTCTGTCTGAAGTACCAACTGGAGCTCATCATAGGCATCCTTCACCCTCTGGTTCACTTCATTTAAGAGTGTTTTGTGCTGTCCTGCTTTTAGAAACTTATGGAAATCAGACTTCTTGTTGAACTTTTCTATCTGCCTTTCAGTTTCCTTGAGGGCAGTGTGGAAACGGGTCAGGACACTGGTGAGACTGTCAGGCAGGTTCCCCTTTTCTTGGGCCTTGAGCTCTTCCAGAAGCTGCAGCAGAGTGTGACCATGTCCCTTTAGACGTTGTGATTCTTGCTGGCAGGACTCCATTTTTTCACACTGGTTGTAGATCAGCTTGGCTAAGGAGATGATCTGTCCCAACTGATCCATACCTGGAAGAAACTGATGGCATTTGTTTAAGTCCCAGAATTTCCAGTATATTTACTGTGGAGCTGACAAAGCTTCAAGGGCATCTGTGATAGAAAAGGCTGCAGGGGTCTCCTGGCCATTGTCATGTGAGATAGTGGGGGCTGGGGCTCCCCCTGGTGGCACAACGGGTTAAAGCACAGCATTATGAAGCTCTCCAAAGCCACAGCAGCACACCTGTCCAGGAGCTGACCCACAAGGCATGGCAGACCTCTCCTGACCTGCCCGCTGCTCCCCTCAGTGGATCTGCCGGTCCTGCTCCCCACTCTGTCTCTGGTGAATCCTCTCACCCACCACACCTCTGGCCTTTACCCCAGTTCTGTAAGCATAAATAAATCTTTAAAAAAAAGATAGAGGGGGCCCTCCCTGGTGGCGCAGCGGGTTAAAGCACAGCACTGAGAAGCTTAAGCTACTTCCGCATGAGTTAGATTCCCGCCTGCCCTGGAGGTGACCACATGGCACAGCAGACCTCTCCTGACCACTTCATCGATCTGCCTGTTCTGCTCCCCACTCTGTCCCTGGTGAATCCTCTCACCCTCCGCATCTCTGGCCTGTACCCCAGTTCTGTATAAATATATAAATCTTAAAAAAAAGATAGAGGGGGCTTGCTCTCTCCCAACCTGTTCCACTCTTCCATGAGATTATATCTCCCCACCTTACCTGTGCTTGCTATAGTCATGTGACCAGTTGTCACCAGGGGGTGCATGTGACAGGCACCACTGCTGGATGAGGCAGGTCTATCTCCTCTACCCCTGTTAGTTGAATGCACTGGGTGCCAGTGCCATAGAGGTGGTGAAGCCTCAAGAGGGAGAACCCTGGATCTCTGAAAAGGGAACCCTGGAGTTCTGCTGCTTACAGACTTGGAATGTCTTTCATAGATGGTTAAGCAAGCAAGGAATAACATTTATTGCGTTTGAGTTATTACATTTTGGGATCAATTGGTTACATTGGTTTAGACCATTCTGACAGATAGATATGGCTAGAGTATAGGGGTGACTATCAGATGGTGAGTTGGAAAGCTCAGGTCCTGCCTAATAATGAAGGCCAACTTTACCCAGAAAGTCACCATTGCTGTTCTTCAAGAATAAAGAACACAGGGCCCTCCCTGGTGGCGCAGCGGGTTAAAGCACTGCACTAAGAAGCTTAAACCACTTCCGCATGAGTTCGATCCCCACCTGCCCCAGAGGTGATCCACATGGTGTGGCAGACCTCTCCTGACCCGCCCGCTGCTCCCCTCAGCAGTGTGCTTCATTCATCTGCCTGTTCTGCTCCCCACTCTGTCTCTGGTGAATCCTCTCACCCTCTGCATCTCTGATCTCTACCCCAGTTCTATATGAATAAATGAATAAATCTTAAAAAAAAAAAAGAATAAAGAACACAGCAGTAGAAAAACTTGCAGTTTTTTGAAGCTCAGTCAGACACTGGATTTTTACACTAAATCCACTGATTTAAAATCTTACAAAAAAAATCTTCCAACTAAGTCAAAAAACACTGTATCAACTGTACAGTCCAATACCACGTGTCAAATAAAACATGTTTGCCAACTAGATATAGTGAAGCTGCAATTTGCAAACTCAGTCACTGTTGGTCAAGGAGATTGTGACTGAAATGACTTCTGTCACACTCACATTTTCCTTTCTGCCTCTTTCCCCCGTGTGCCTGCCTGCCTCCTAGTTCTTATCCCCAGGTCGCTCTGTGGTGTTTTAAGCAAGCTGTGAATTTGTTCTAGTCATCCCACTGGCTTCTACATCAGTAAGAATTTGTGTGTTAGGCCCTTCCTGGTAGCGCAGCAGGTTAAAGCACAGCACTAAGAAGCTAAAGCCACCTTAGCATGAGTTCAATCCTCGCCCCGTTGGTGATCCAACGGTGAGGCAGACCTCTGTCTCTGTTGAATCCTCTCACCCCCCCTGCACTTCTGGCCTATACCCCAATTCATGCATAAATAAATAAATCTTTTTTTAAAAAAGAACTTGTGTGTTAAATGCTGCTACCCTCTGAGGCATTGGTACTAAAGACTTAGAGATTTTCCAGCCCCAGAGGAATTGTGGTAGCTGTTTAAGCAGCCTGCACAACTTTTGTACTTGATGTCCTAATACTGTGCAGCATTTAGTGGTTACCTGCTCTTCCCCACTTTTTGTTGAGTACTAGTGGCATCTATACGGTAGAGCTAAGGGTGCTACCATGACAGGACAGTCCCCCCAAACAAAATGTCAGTAATGCAGAAGTTGATAAACCTTGGTAGAAGTGACCAAACAATTTAGAATAGCCTGCCATGATGACTGACTTAAAACTGGCCAATCTGAAAGGAGGGGAAGTTTGCGGGGGGGGGGCAGTAAGGGGGGTTCCTGGCCCTCCAAAGACAGCCCAAGGAAACCAGCTCCTTTCAGTCTCTTTTCACAGAATAGGAGCTAGAAAGCATGAAACCCTGACCCCAAAGTTGTGGGAGGCTCTACTTACAGAGGAAGACCGGAAAGAAAGAAAAATCTCAGTTCTTGGTGGCAACATGGAGCTACTGGTTTGAACTGACCCTGAAGTTCACCGGATTCCTCAATTCCAGATTTCATGAATAAATAAGCTTCTTCACTAAGGGGCTTTGAATCATGTGTTATACTTGCAGCTAAAGGCAACTGGGTTCAGTAATGAAGGGGACAATGAAGAGCACAAATCTCCTTCCAGTCACCTGCTTACTGTGCACTAAGTTCCTTGGAATCGTGTGCATGAAATCTGGCTTAAAACAAAACAGAACAGGCCCTCCCTGGTGGCGCAGTGGGTTAAAGCATAGCACTGAGAATCTAAAGCCGCTTCCGCATGAGTTCGATTCCCGCCTGCCCCGGAGGTGACCACATGGCGTGGCAGACCTCTCCTGACCCGCCCGC